TCCACGTGTCTCTGTTGAGATAGGAATGCAAAATACACAACTTGGATTCTTAGATTAGTCAATCTCACTCAACAAGAAACTTGCTCGATACATGCTCTCATGAGTAATATGGTGCCATGTTCATTCATATGAGAGAAGTCTCTCAAAACGCAAAAACAAAAATACTCTACTGAGTGTGATTCTGCCCTACACTTGATTCTATAACAGATCATGTTGATCTCACATTCACTTTCTCGTCGTAGTGGTAGAGGTACGGTCATCGATGGACGAGTATCGGTTTGGAAACCTCAACATGGCCCAATATGGATGTGTGGAGAAGATGTATGGATAACCAACAGGTGGAGATTTCGATCCACGTGGACATTTTGAGATGATCATGGAGGCCAACGTTAGATCGTGATTTCACGGGAAACAAGGACAGTGAGACTAAGCAATAACTACTTATGGGTTGCACCTAAAGGTAGGACGCATTCGTGTATTGACGGCGAAGTCATGTCGATCATGTATTATTGGATCTAAATCAACAATGACGAGGGAGTTCTTCAAGATCAATATGGCGACTGCTCGTTTTGCATGGTATGAGTTGCTTGCTATGGCTTTAGTGTTGGATCTTGGTTGCTTGTATTTCATTGTGGCCTCTAGCTTCTTAAATATGTGCCTTGTGTTGGACGTGAAAGCTTGATCTTCTTTGAGTTTGCTTGTAGACGGTTTAAACTACAGATTTCTTGCGACACCTTTCTTATTTCATGTGATCGTTGCCCTGTACCATAGGGCACACGTGCTCTAGAAAACCCTTATACCCACATACATTTTCCAAGCCTTTATCCAAAAAGGCTTTCGCCCCGCTTTATATATAAAGCACAAAACCACAAGCATCCAGTACAACCACACGCCACACCAACGCAACACACGCACACACCCAGGACATGATACATAGGCGTTGGGCACAACAACACCACTCCTAGCACTACCGCCCCGAAGAGATGAAACTACATATGACGAATCATGCGCTCCAAGGCGGCGCCTTCAGGAAGGATACGACGCCGGAGCGCCGCCACCGCCCGATCCAAGGATCAGAGTTTCCCCCGGAGCCGCATGATGGGCAATGAGAGCCGCGACGACGCCTTCAAGAAGGGAACGATCTTCGCCGCCGATGGTCCATCCGAAGATAGAGCAGGTTTTCACCTCGGCCAACATTCACCGCCACCGAACGCCACACCCCGGCAACCACGCTGCCCACACGACCATGGTGACCGGGCAGCACCAAGGCACGGGCTCTGCCCAAGAGCACCGCGCAACCACCACCAGGGCCGCCGCCCCAGCATCCAAGACCTCGACACCACCTCACCCGAGACCCGCCGCACCCCAAAGAAAGAGACGAGCAGAAAGGTCCCACCTTTCACGCCCCTGGGCAACCCTCAGCGTTGAGACCCAATAGGTCGGCCAAAACTGTCATCCACCGACCCATCCTGCTGCCCCAAGCGCGAGACGAGCTCGGTCCTGCAGCAACGAGAGGGGGGCGAGGTCAATCCTGCTGCATCGCGCGCGAGACGAGTTCGGTCCTGCTGCATCGTGCGTGAGATGAGCTCGGTCCTGCGGCATCGGGCGCGAGATGAGCGGTGGACCGCAGCTGGGAGAGGACCAGCCCTTTGATGGGAGTAGCGCCCGGGCGACGAGGAGAAGGGGTGAAGGTCGAGACGGCCCGAACGCAGACAAACCGACGTCGGAGAAGCCGGCCGTTGTTTCCAAGCCTTTCAATCTCACATTCCACATAACATGTGGAATAACTCATATGACTACATCGTACCTAAGATCTATGATATTTGGTATACTAATATTTCAGATACATTTATACAAACTTTCATTTATAATTTTATTATTATTAGAAAAGTAAGAGATTAACTAAAAGTAAAGATTGCTATTTAATTGAGTTATGCTTCAAGAATGATGAGAGGGCATAACTAATAATTATCTATTTCAACCCAGTTACTTCAAAACCCACACTCTAACATTGAAAAAAAATACCAACCGAGGAGACAAAGCAACCTACCGTAGCTAATATTTTTTGATTCAGTTGATATGAAACTACTTATCAAAATATAGTGGCAACAACAAAAATCCCAATTTCGATGGGCTGGTTGGCTTAGAGCTACATTCAAATTAATAAAAAAATCAACTATATTTCGAGGTGCAAAGCAAAATGTATTGATACAATCAATGCTGATGCTATATTCAAATTTGATATATTATCGTGTCATGTCCTTGTGCGGTTTTTATCCTCACCACCATTCGTACTTAAATTATAGCTTTGTACTTGTATTGGTGGTAAAGTCTAGATGACATTGTCAGCATATCTAGTATTCTCTTTAAACCATATGGCATTGGTGGATGTTCCACCCTAACCCTTAACCTTCACCTAGATCTCGCCTTAGCTTGCTCCACCTTGCTTTGGCCCCTGAAATCCAGGAGTGAGCTGCCTTCTATACGAGTTTGCTAGGTGCAGTGGCGGAGCTTGAAGCCCAGCTCTGGGCAGGCTGGGCGGGCCAAAATGAAGGAAATAGCGTGTGGACTAGTGTTATAAGGTCCAACGGTAAAAAAATGTACAAACTTCAAAATATTGGGCGGGCCATGGCCAATCCGGCCTTGCTGTAGCTCCGCCATTGGTTAGGTGTTAGGGCCATGTCCCCGATACCAAGGCGAAGCGAGAAAAACGTGGCAAACTTGAAACCAAAATTGATTCAATCAGAGTGACTGTTTTTTCCACCGGTAGTTACCACCTGAACATCTGAAAAACCGAAAGTGGTAGCGAAGTTCCAAGAAAAAAGATATGTTTGGGGGAGGGAGGGAGGGAGGGGGGGGGGATCGAGAAATGCATCAGTAGATCCCTAAATAATCGCCACACTTACCCAGAAGTCTTTGTCTACTTTTTTGTTGATAAATTTCAATTATGAAATGCTCTTTGGGTATTTTTCCTTAAAATATAGTTGGAGAGAATATGCTTTTTCAAATGATCTCTCTTTTGAAACATTGTAAAAATGCAAATGTTCATGTACACGCAGCTCTATGAACGTGTGCACACATCTTCGAGGGATTGAGCTGACACATCTTATATTTGACGAAGTTACCACATAGGCGTCGTAATCGACGGGAACTTCGTTTCCCACCGAACGAACATCACCGAAATCTCAAATAAGTTTAGAAAAGTACGAACACTAGCGTCAAAACTAGAACTTGAAAACCGATGGACCTATTTCTCCACCAGGAATCTAACCATCCTAGCTACGTCCAGTTCGCCAAAATGATTTTTTATATTCCCGATACAACATTATTTGCACTAATTTGGTGTTAAAATGGAGAAATATTGTCCAGGTCTAAACTTTGCCAGCGTTCGTTTTCTGCGTAACGATGGTGGTAATGCTTGATCATTGCTTTATATATAATAAATAAAATGGGGCGAAAGACTTTTTGGGCTAAGCTTTACGAGCATGCAACATACTCCAAATTTTAGCAGTCACGATCATGGCCGCGGTAACCCGGAAACCTCGCCCGCAAAAAATGAAAACAAAAACCGGAAGCCTGAACGCTCCTTGGCTAGTTCTTGCAATATCTTCCGTGGTCACGACGGAGAAAAAGGAAGGGACCCGAGACCCGTCAGGCCGTCACCCACCATCTCCTCCATTCCGACCTCAGTGACACGGTGGCGCCGTAGCCATTCGTCCGGCCGGCCACCCATCATCAAGAGAGAGAGGGAGCAGACGGGTTGACTGGGGCAGTTGACCGGCAAAGTCCGTGGATCTCCGCGTCCCCAGTCCATACTGCGCGCCCCTCTCGCCCTCGCCGGGCCCACGGCTGGGCCCCCACCCGCTTAGAAAAACTCCCTCGCCTCCACTTTCTTTTCCCTTTCTTTGACGGACGGGCGGCTGCTCTCCTCTCCTCTCACCTCCCCCCACCTCCGGTCCTCCCTCCCTCCTCTCCCCACTACTCACAGACTCTTCTCTCCCCTCCCCCTCCCTGGGTCCTCCCGGTTCCCACCTATGCGCGGACGGCGAGCTTCAGGTAATCGATTCG